CTGTCAAGCGGCGGAGGCAGCGACGGTGACGAAGCTCAGAACAGCTGCTACGGCGGCGACACCAACTCAGCCGATCTCATCCTTGAGTTTGCGGCCATTGGGGCCAATAAGGCGGATGTGAGAGAGGGCTTTGACGAATAACCTCTGTTAAATTCCCAATTCTTTGCGAAATTCGACCCTCTATGCTACAATTTGCAAGATATAGTCAATTCGATTGGGTCAGCTTCATAACCTCCATCTGAAAATGGACGATGTAGTGCAAGCATCGTAACCCAATTGCTGCCACTGGTGCTATTGTTTATGAATTTCTCTAACTTAGGTTTGGGTATTGTAACGGGATGGGATTTTGTGTATTTTTGGGTTTGGTTTTAGGTGGGTGGCGGTGCGGTTTTGTTTTGGGTGGGTTGGGGTGGCGGTGCAAGGAGGTGTTAGGGTGGGTTGGTGGTGATGGAGGTGTCAAGAGTGGGAGCTGGCACAACTACTTCATGACAACCCGGTGTTGAAAATAGATATGAGACTTTTTGTTATTTAAGATTATATATATTTTATATTAAAAAATTGAGAGTAAGATGGTAATTCGTAGAAATCTAAAAATAAATTGAAATGTAAGCGAAAGTTAAAATCAAAATTTTTATCTAGTTGAAAAATAACCTAATCTCGGAAGTCTGAATGTAATTTACCTCTTAATTTTTGACTCTCCATATACTTGTATTATTTTTACCGCCTCTTATTTTACAATCAACTAAACCTATCAAATCCCTAAGTTGTTTTTTATTTTTTATTTTCTTTATACTAACAAACTAGAGAAAAAATTGGAGATAATTACAGAAGGAACTAAATTCCTAATTAGAAGAGGAACGCTAGTGCAGAAATATTTATAGAAAAGAAAATGGAGATAATTAAAGGAGGAGTTAAATTTCAAAATAGAAGATGAGTTAGGGGATCGAAAATAAAATTAGAAATCGAATGCTTTGTAATGAGTTAACATGACCTAATGCTAAATATTATTTGTCTTTTTATGTCACATAGCTTCTGACCTAACAAATCAGTCTAAATTTTCTGTCCCAGTAACACAACTTACAAGGGTAATGTTATTGGCGCTCCAAATACTTCCTTAGGCTTCCACTATTTTATTCTAAATAAAGGAAATAACCAAAGCAACCTTCTTCTTTCCTACGGGTTCTCTCTTCGACGCCCAGTTAGATCTCTTTCCCACATGTTCTCTACAAATTCGAAAAGGAACCTCCCTGATCTCGCTTACCATGAAATGGTCTTGAGTTGTTTTTTTTTAGCAAATAAATGAATAAATCTTATTTTGAAGACAAAGGATTTGCTTGGATGGAATATGACAGTGTTCTTTTTCTAATCTTTGATGTAACCATCCGAAGTGAATTTTGCAGAAAATATATTGAATGGATTAAGATTTGGGTCATAAATTTACAAAATCTAAAAAGAAATTGAAAATCCAAATGAAGACGGTTAAAGCTTCAAGCTTCCAACCAATTCCGATCGAATGAAGGGGTATTTTTGTCATTTAATTATTATTGAAAGCAGATAGAGCGCCAAAAGCTAAATGCTGTTCAGATACGCATGAATGAGAGAAGCTTTGCTTTGTTCTGAGCGCACCGATGTACCTAAAGAGGAGCACAACCCCATTCAAGAAAACTTCCCAATCGAAGCCATGTTCTTTAGTCACAAACAAAAGGAAATTAAGATTACCTATAGATGATGTTTGAATCAAATATCACTGCCCAAAAAATTTCAATATTACTTTTCATTGAATTAGTCCATTAAATGGACCAGAGGTCTAGGACCACCTAATAATTTCTCAATAAAAAAAGTCTTAGTTCTTCAATACTAATGTAATTTAAATTAGACAAGATGCATAAAATTCCATATATGAGCCACTTAAATCAATGGATTCCTTAAATAAAACAGATTATAATCCTAAATACGAATTACATATATATATATACACACACAGAGGCACGGTATTATATTAAAAAAATCCATGAAAGATTTGATTTATCTTCTCTAATAAATTATACTTTATTATAAGGAGAAATAATTGATCAACAATATATTACTGCATTGGAAAGATAATTACTATTGTTTTGTTTGCTAGGAATGAAGGAAGAGATGTTGAATAAAGAGAGGAAGGAAGGAAGGAACATATGTTTTTTGTTTGGTAAAGAGAATATAATGAGAGAAAGTATAATAAGATGGATTAGTTATCCTTCCATCTTCACAAATTTTATTCCATCCAAAAATGTACAAAAGATAAACAGAAAAACAAGTGAAACTTTTAAATTACAATACTATCAATACTAGCTTATAAATTACAATACTATCAATACTAGCTTATAACATAATAATTTCATAAAGATTCAAAAGAGTATTACAATTTAAAACTCTTTCTTTCCTTTTTCTCCTAATAATTAAACATATATAAGAGTACTGATTAACTTAAATCCTTAGCCGTCACTGATTAATTATTGCGCAATGTTTGGTATTTCATTGAATTCTGAAGTGCAAGACTGTGAGAGTCAAATGAAACGAATTTAAGTGGAATTTTTAGTTCCTAAATGTTAAATTAACAGTTCCAATTGACAGTAAGACCAAAGTAAACAATATATTGACAGTAAGACCAAAGTAAACAATATATATATATATATATATATATATTTCTGTAAGTAATGAGTATGCCTAGAAATCACCACAAAATTATTTCATCAATTTCTAAAGTGCAAGATAGAAAGTCAAATGTAACGAATTTAAGTGGAATTTGTAGTTCCTAAATGTTAAATTGTTCATTTTAATAGTTTTCTTCGAATTGACCAGTAAGACCAAATATTCGATTAACATCAATTATGACAACAATAAACTATTTAAAAAATGAGACACCTCAAATGCATGTATGCACGGTGGCATGGGCTCGGTGAGTTTTAAGATACCGTTCACATTGGTATTCATTTTCCGCACACTGAATTGTGTTTACAGTATACATTTGGCCCCCAATTCATACATCCAAAATTAAAGAATAAAAATAAATAATAATAATAAAATCATCCTATCGTATGAACTCCTTTAGAAACAAAGACTTCCATGACAAAGTTTGGTCTGTCCATTGTTTTCTTGCAATGATTCAAGATTTTTTTTTGTCAAAAGTGAGCAAACGTAAGATTCGATCAACTAAATGTTGTACATATTCAATTAATTTGAACCATTAAGTCAAATTTGTCTAACTAAGCAATTTAAGTGGTTATCTAAGGTCTTTAACTAAAAAAATTCTTTTTTACTTTTTACTTTTTTCTCCAATCTCTTAATCTTTTTCTCCTCTATTTTACCTTTTTTATTTTTTCTCCAATCTCTAAATCTTTTTCTCCTCTATTTTATGTTTTTTTTTCTAAATCTATTTTTCTCTTCTTTTCAATTCTTATCCTCTCCCTCCTTTTCTTACTATTGCGTGACCGAGCCGCCTTTAACTAAAAAAATGTTGGTAGAAATAGTGAATTTTTTTTTATAATTTAAGTGAAAGCAATTTTAAAATTTTTCAAAAACATAAATAGTAGGTATATTTATGACGGTAAAAAAACATAAAGGACATTTTTCCCTAATTTTTGTCTGCCTTGTACAAGGACGGTCATACATGACATAGCATGATGTGATTGGGTTAAACTTTAAATAAAAGGACTTGAGATAATAGTCAAATCAATATTATACTTCTTTCGTCTCAAATTAAGTGATTATTTTCAAAAATTTAATTTTTTAAGAAGATGATGAGGACAAGTTTTAATATTTTTTTATTATATTAATACTTTAATAGTGAATAAGTTATTAAATATATTTATAGTGGGTTCACATAATGTAATGGTTTACTTTTTATAAGTTCAATATATGAAAGTTAAATTGGTAGTATTATAAAAAGTAGTACTTTGACTTTTTAAATGTGACATTTAGTTTGAAACCGCAAAAAAAAAATAAAAAATATATATATATATATATTTAATTTGAGATGAAAGAAATATATAAATTAAAGTTTCACAAAAATTACATAATGTTTCCCCCCCCCCCCCCCCTCCCCCCCCTCCCCCCAAGGGCAAGAGCATTTCAGATGCTAGTGATACTTGGTCAAATTACGGGCGTGATTGTAAACCGTCAATTGCTAAAAAAATCCTTTTCAGCAAGTGGAGGTTGTTGTCGTCACTAAAAAAATCATTATGCACATCTAAATTATTACGAGGTGCTTTTACTTTTAGAGGGAAAATATTATTTGATTATAGCGCATCTAATTGCAGTTAATAGAATTACATAAAATCATTATCCACATCTAAACCATTATGAGGCGCTTTATGCTCACCAGGAGTTAGAACATTATTGATAAATACATATATCTAAACTATCATGAGGCGCTTTATGCTCACCAGGAGTTAGAACATTATTGATAAATAAATACACACACACACACATACATACTAGATAAAAAAAGACGTGCAATTGCACCTAATTAGAACTCTTAGTCTAGCATAAATATATATATATATATATACAACTTTGACATGGTAAATTTGAAATTTGTCATATATGTAATGTTACGGATTTTTCCTATTTTCTAATTTTCTAATTTCTATAATTTATTTATTTTTTGTGAATTATTTTAATCCTTACCTCGTTTTGCTTGCCACGCGAGCCCCGAGGGGCGTTTTGGTCATTCATAGAGCCGAGGGTTTTGGAAGTTTATTTTTAATCATTTTAAGTCAATTAGAAGTGACAGTATTATTTTTAGAATTTTTCAGAAGTTGGGACAATTTTCGGACTCGGGAACTTTTGCTGGTTTTGTCATTTTAAGAAAGGGGCATAATGAACTTTTCTCACATATATGTATATATCTATATCTATATATTAGAGGTAAATATTTATGAGACAAATGAGACAATGTATGGTAAGGACAAGATTATAACTTTGCACAAAATTAAAAATCAACCAAAAGTTGATGAGATTTTTATCATACCATTACCTTTCCTCCTCCCCCATTTTCGTGCATCATCCCCTCTCTCTCTATCACTTTCTTTATCTCTCTCTATATTCATACACAAGCACACATTTATATCTTCTAAAGAAAAAGCTTTGATTTGGAGAGTTTAAGATGAATTTTAAAGGAAGGGAAGAAGAGAGGTTAGAGAGCTTGGCATAAGCTTCAAATTGAGGCTAATATTGCTAGGGTTTTGAAGAATTTTGAAATTTTGGGAAGCTTAGGGCTTGTTTGGCTTGCTTTATTGAGGTAGGGAAAGTTTAAATTACAAGCCCTATAATTTTAGTGAGTTTCTATGTGTTTTCTTGCATGATTATTTTGGTGTTATGAAGCATGCTTAGTTTGTAAATTTTGGTTGTGATATTACGCATGAGATAGTGTTGATTTAATTGTTGTGGGTTGAGAATATGATTGTTTTTTTGTATTTGTGCCAATCATGCTATTTTTTTATGAGAAAGTGTAAAAGTATGATTTATGTGATCAATTTTTGTGTTTTAAATGTTTTAATATAATTATGATATAAACCATGACTTGTATATTAATAAATGATAGTATGACATGCAAACTCTTGACATGGGGTGAGTAGAGAGGATGAAGATTTGATGTGGAAGAAAAGGTTAGGAAGTAAGATGATAGTTGGTGATGAAAGTTAAGGTGAAGGTTATAAAAGCTTTGGTGAGGTTGGGTTAGAAAGGAAAAAGGGGCATTTGCATTTCATATATGATGATATGGCTTCTAATCCCATGATCCCTTTTCCTTGATCCCCTTTTCTTTGGTTATAGCTCACGGGATTTTTAGAAATGTAATTTAAGCTTCTTTTTTTTTTCTGAGCTGTTGAGTTCATTCTATCATCATTAACATTTTTTAGGAATTCGAAGATGAGCTGGTGAATGATATGCATTCATGGATATCAATGTAGTTAGGATTTCATTTTATTTATACTAAAGCTAAGTAATTTTTTCCATGGAGGCCTCATTCTTGTATTTAATTCCTTGGTAGTTGTATAAAATGAGATTTGTATAACTCAATCTTTAAACGATGTAATGGACTTGTACTCGGATTATTTGAATGTACGAGAGTTTAATTGTGTTTTATATATTGTCAAATGAAAGATTTGAGTCAGGTTTGGGCTTTGAGAAAGGTCACAAAGGAACTAAAGTACACAAGTTCAAAATTTTAGGCTTTTTTGGGCATTTTCAAGGTTCTAGGCATCTTGAACTGATTCAGCCCCATTGAACCGGTTCAAGGGGTGCAAATGGTTCTCGAGTGGGCATATTACCCATCTTGAACCGGTTCAGCCTCACTGAACCAATTCAAGTCCCCCAGTGTGCACCATTTGCCTTGTCAACTTATCAACTTTGATCACTTAATTTCGGACGGTCAAAACTTCTTCGTTCCAAACTCAAATTAGGTCATTCTTGAGTCCATTTTCAAGGATTTTGAGTTAGCTTTCCGATGAGACCAACATCATCTTCAAATTCCATTCATGTTGAGAGTTCTTATGGTTTTAGTGGAACAGTATCAGAATTAGCCTTGAACCGAGTAAGGCCGTTTTTGAGAAATCGTAACCAATGACCGTAAAACCTCTTTAAACATCATGGAATGACTAGAATGATTGTTTTAAACTTCATTTGACTAATTTTAAGGCAGATTATCCTCTCATATTGTAAAATAACCATTTTACCCCTGGTGTGTCATCGGGCTTGGTTAAGGACCCGGTTTGCGATTCGGACCCTGGGATCGGGTCGTTACAATATAAAAATTAAAATTTTATTATCATCTTCATACAAAATAATTTATAGAATTTATAAAATTTTATAAAAAAAATAAAGAATCATCATTGTACAACCAACACATATCAGTTTCCCTTATCTATTCCTCTATTGGTACGATATTAAGGATTCAAGCATATTTTTGAAGTGCTTCAAACCAAGTCAAATCTAACACAAGTAAAGGAAATTGAAAAGAAAAATAAAAATTGTAATTTAAAAAATCAATACTTATAAAATATTACATCCTTAAATTTGGTCAAAACTCTATTTTTCAGTTGACAGAATTGACTCATTCTAGATGCTCCTGTGAAAAAAAAATATATATATTGCTCTTTCAATTCACATTGAACTATGTTCCATTTTGTTTGGTCATTTATTACCGAAGTAAGAAAAATATTTAATATTATAGATGAAAAGGAGCAAAAGGAATGTAGAAGTCTAGGACGCTCTTTGCAATGCCATGCGTGGGAAAGCCCAAGCTATTGAAATAGTTTTTAGATAGGGAGAGCAAGTAGAAGGAGAGAAAAACCTTGAAACACAAGGGGTTTTAAAAATGTCTATTGAATGACTCTCAGTATTTATAGATGCATGTAATTAAAAGGTATTTTAGTAAAGATGTGTGAATTTATAAGGTGTAATCATATAATTTTAATTGTATATGTGCTTAGACTTGCAAACACCTTTTTGACACAACTCTTCATAAATTTATTTAAAATACAAAAAAATATATATATTAATAATAATAATAATAATAATAATTGAATGGGTGTTTCATTTGGACATAACTCATAATTGAATGGGTGTTTTTTCTCCTCAAAAAAGTGTTAGTAGTTAAATTTTTTCTCCTCAAAAAAGTGTTAGTAGTTAAATAGACATCTTTTCAAGAATTTAAAGAGGTGTTAATGTTTGATTCTAACTCTAATTCTTAATTAAAATATAGATATATCATCGCAGAAAATAATACACATAAAATCAAATGACTCCTATATATAATAACTTTAACTTTATCATGTCCATGAAAGTCTTAATCTGCTTCATCTTTATTGAACACCCACACAATACTATTGGTAGTATAAGAAACTCTTTCATATAATAATTACAGTATATTAAATAAAAGTTATATGCAAAGGGAACTCTAAAATATTTCAATAATAATGTGATATAGAAGTAAATATAAATAATACAGAGAGACATAAAAAGTTTTTAGAGCAGAGAAGAATTGGAACCTAAATATATAATTTATTTAAGAAGTATAATGCACTTACAATGTTGCTCTGAAAATAAAAAAAGTTTTTTTGCAGAGAAGAAGATAACATGAAAGGGTTTTTTTTTTTTTTTTTTGAGATCATATGACTTGTAGGTATGTATAAGTGGAAAACAACTCTTCACAATAGGTGTCTCTTTTAAATGTAAAAGTAGAAAGATATCTTAACTGTTGATGCCTTTTAGAAATTACGTTGCAGGAAGTTACAATTTTTTTCTCAAGGTATATAATTAAAGTTGATTTTTTAATAAAGAAATCTAGAATCTAGAGTGTAAGATTGATTTAAATTAAAATTTAAAAATTGTTTTAAAGAAGAACTATTTTGGGAAAAAAGAAGAAAGAAAAAAACAAAAAATAGTGTGTAAAAAGGAAACATCGCGTATAATATTTTTGTAAATTAAAGAAATAATTTTTAAATGTATATAAAAAATCAAAATTGAATACATTTTATAGGGTATATATATATATATATAATCTTTATAGGGTAAAATGCAGAAAACATTCCTATGTATATTACATGTAGCATTTTTATCCCTTATTTGAAAAAATTTACAAATAACAATCCTATTCTGTTAACATTTTAACATTGTACGAAAATATCATTTTAAGCAGAAATCTGACATAAAATAATATTATAATACCCATTTCACTCTTTTACTTATTAAAAAATGTTCAAAAAGCATATATACTAATAATCTTATAATATATTTTGTGCACTTTACCTATACTTTTCCCATCTTATCTTACCATAAAACTCCATTAATGAACCTTCTCTCATCATTCTTTTTATCATTGGCATTCTTTGGTTTAATTCATGCATGAGAACGGATATACAAGTTTGTTTTCTGAAAATTTTATATATATATTGTGAATTTGGTGTGCACAGTTGGTTTAAACATATCATATATTAATTGATTTGGGTTGTACTTTACATATTTACTCTTTAATATACTTTAAACTTACCACTCAGAAAAAAAACAGAGCTTCGCTCTCGGCCATGGAGGTCGGCGACCATGGTTGCCGGACTTTGTTCCGGCGGGATCACAGCCGTCCGGCGGTCCTCTCCTCTTTTTCTCTAGTTTGCTCCTTTTCAATTCCTTTTTCAAAATTTCATACGTAGTATATAATCTCATCGTCCTAACACATAAATACGGTCCTGAGGTTATCTTTTGGGAAGGAACCAATGCTGATACGAACTGACCATTACAGTCCTAGTCATAATAAAGTTCACAAATTGATAAAGAAACTAAACACTTCAATTTAGGAGCTCTTCTTTTGAATAATTTATTCAGTACCTATCTCCAGTGACGGACCCAGAAAATTTGGTGAGGGGGGGCGAATTTTTAATTTGTGGGTACAAAATTATATGATGGGTTCATTTTTGTAATTTTAATAGCGTTTTTTTCATAAATTTAAAAAAAAATTAAGTATAAAATGAAAAAAAAAAAAAAAAATCAGTGGGGCAAATTATAATTATAGTGGGGCATCTTCATAAATTATCAAAATTTGAAGTATAAAATGCTAAAAAAAAAAAATTCCAGTGGGGGCGAATTGTAATTTTAGGGGGGCATTTTCATAAATTTTAAAAACATTAGGGTATAAAATGAAAATATTAAAAATTCAAGGGGGGCATCTGCCGCCCCTAGTCCCTTGCTGGGCCCGTCCCTGCCTATCCCATTGACAAGTTAATTAGTAAACAAGGAAATATTATATACATTAGTGATAGAATTTAGATTGTTGGAAGATAACCTAAAAAAATCCAATGGTAGTATTTGTATGTACAAATGTGAATTTTTGTGGACAGGATCAACAATTGAAGTAGGTTTGATTTCCCATACATCAACATCAATCCAACACAGCTCAACACTTTCTGCATTGAACTTGTTGAAACGGTTAGGGAGAGAGAGAGAGAGGAGACCCCGGCCAGTTTCTCTAGAATTTGGCTTTTATGTTTGTGGAGGGAAAAATCTTCCTCCAATAAGAATGGAACACATCATCACTATATAAATCTACATTTGGTAGATTTCAGAAGCCCATCCGGATCAAGCCCAAATTACATTATTCTTTAACCTAGTATCATTTATATTGGGCCTCCAAGGCCAGGTAAGAGCATCAATCGGCTCAACGTCACCACGGTTGAAGTTCCGGCCCATTGGTCAAGTCACTTACACCAAGCTGCATTCGGCCCAAGTACAATTAAATATAGCCTAGTCCTATTAAGCAAAGGAGTCAACACAGAAGGAAAGTTTTATACAAAGCAAGTTTTACGTAGGAAATATCATACAATAGAAAGAACTCTATTTGTAAAGAAAGTCATGTATGGGAAGAATTGGAGGACAAGTAACGCGAGTCCTACCATAATTGTACCAACTTTTGTGTATAAATAGAGGCCTAGACCTCCAATAAAAGGGCCAAGCAATTCAATTCTTCTAGATACATTGTTCTTGTTTATTTTTACTATTCTTGAGTGTGTTGTATTATTTTTCTCAATCGTGATTGGTTAAGTGGAATTTTGAACCTACACTTTGGCGTCGTCTGTGGGAACGTGTGCAAATATATTCCCACTCTTATTTCACAGGTGAATCCTGCAACTACCATCCGGAATGTCGAACGGAGAATCTTCAACGGATCAACAGACGGAGTTGATGCAGAAGACGCATGAAGAGTTTCTACACCAGTTTAACGTACTTCGTCAGGCAAACGAAGCTAGCGTGGCTCAGATCGCGTTGCTTCGACAGCAGAATAACACTCTGCAAACGGCGATGGCTCAGTTGGCACCACCGCCACCACTAGGTGACATTGCAGCACCCCCTAATCAGAATATTCCTCCGGTTAACTGGTTTCCACCTAATGGGGCACGACCCAACGAGGCTCAGCCAAATGAGGTTCAGCAACAACAGAGGGCAAGGTCCGAGGTTGTTGCTTCAGACAACGTCCCTCGTCGCACGCAGGACGAGCAAGTCGAATCTATCCATAAGCTCACGGTGTGGTCCAATGGAATTCCAGATGGCGCAAGTGTTCAGGATGCCTTTGATGAGAAAAGACTCCTGAAGATTCA